GCCATTTGGCCCTTTGAGCCTGCTCCTCCGTTCATCACCATTATGGTTGATCATCCAGCTCAACAGCCTAATCCTGCTTTCTCCTCATCACCTTTGATCCCATTTGTTACAAGTGCGAAATCTAGCCACCTCTTGAATACATTCAATGTTTTGATATCAACTACTTCCTGCGGTAATGAATTCCACAGGTGCACCACTCTTTGTGTGAAGAAATGCCTCCTCATCTCAGTCCTAAATGGTCTACTCCAAATCTTCAGACTGTGACCCCGTTATTCTGGACACACCCACCATCAGGAACATCCTCCCTGCATCTACCTTGTCTGATCCTGTTAGAATTTTCAAAGTCTCTATGAGATCTACCCTCATTAGTCTGAACTCCAGCAAAAATAATCCTAACCTAGTCAATCTCTCTTCATACGTCAGACCCACCATCCCCGGAATCAGCCTGGTAAACCTTTGCTGCACTCCCCTGAGAGCAAGAGCATCCTTCCTCAAAAAAGGAACTGTGCACAATATACGAGGTGTGGTCTCACCAAGGCCCTGTACAATTGCAGCAACATGTCCCTGCTCCTGTACTCAAAACCTCTCGCAATGAAGGCCAACGTACCATTTTGCCTTCTTTACCACCTGCTGCACCTGCATGCTTACCTTCAGCGACTAGTCCAAAAGGACACCCAGATCCCAACTGCACACTCCCCTCTCCCAATTTACAGTCAGTCATTCAGGTGGTAATCTGCCTTCTTGTTTTTACTTCCAAAGTGAATAACCTCACATTTATCCAAATTGTACCGCATCTGCCATTGACTTGCCCATTCACCAAACCTGCCCAGATCATGCTGAAGGATCTATGCATCCTCGTCTTAGTTCAATATCCCACCCAACTTGGTATCATCTGCAAACTTTGAGATGTTACATTTTGGTCCCTTCCAAATCATTAATATGTATTGTGAATAGCTGGGGTCCCAGCACCGATCCCTGTGGCACCCCAGTAGTTACTGCCTGTCAATTTGAAAAGGACCCATTAATTCCCACTCTTTGTTTCCTCTCTGCCAATCAGTTTTCTATCCATCTCAATACACTTCCCCCATTGCCATGCACTTTAATCTTGCACTAATAATCTCTTATGTGGGATTTTGTCAAATGCTTTCTGAAAGTCCAAATACACCACATCGACCGGTCAACTTTATTAGTTACATCTTCAAAGAATTCTAACAGATTTGTCAAGCATGATTTCCCCTTCATAAATCCATATGCTGACTGTCTGATCCTGCCATTGTTTTCTAAATGCTCTGCTATAAAATCCTTGATAATGGATTTGAGAATTTTCCCCACCACTGATGTTAGGTTTACTGGTCTATAATTCCATATTTTCTTTCTACCTCCCTTTTTGAATACTGGAGTGACATTAGCTATCCTCCAATCTGCAGGGACTGTTCCAGACTCTATAGCATCCTGGAGAATGACCACCAATGCATTCACTATTTTTAAGCCACCTCCTTAAGTACGCTGGGATGTAGATTATCAGGCCCTGGGGATTTATCGGCCTTCAATCCCATCAATTTACCACCACCATTTCTCTAGTAAAATTGATCTCCCTCAATTCTTCCCTCTCACTAATCTTGCATTCTCCAACACTTCTGGTATCTGATTTATGTCCTCTTTTGTGAAGACAGAACCAAAGTACGTATTTAGTTGCTCAGCCATTTCTTTGTCCCCTATCATCCATTCCCCCATTTGTGTCTGTAGGGGACCTACAGACAATCCACATTCCAGGATTCACAAAAATGTCATTCTGCCTACCTCACCGAATTGTATCAATTCTGTGTCAAAGATTCAAAGTGCAGGCTCTAATGAAGCTGGACCAGTATCTTTTGAGAAAGAAGCATTGAGGGTTATGGAGTAATATTGCTTTTCCTTTGCAAGTGGTAGAGGGAAAAAATGTCCGAGTGAAACTGGTTAACAATTAGAGGGCATGTGTAATTATTAAAGAGTAGAATGCTGTCTATGTTACAACAGTGACTGTATTTCAGAAGTACGTCATCAGCTATAAAGGATGTTGGAAAGTCCCCACATTGCAAAAGGAGCGGTTTAAAAAAGGTCTAGGCCCGAAACGTCAGCCTTTCTGTTCCTATGATGCTGCTTAGCCTGCTGTGTTCATCCAGCTCTGCACCTTGTTGTCTCTAAAAAAAAATGTAAGCCTTCTTAAAGTATCTATAGGCATTGGATAGAGTGATTGGATGGATTAATTGTCCTTTCTTTGCTTCAGATTTTGTACACTTCTGCCGTTAAAACAGAACACTATCAAAGCTAAGCATTACTTTTATATAACAGAAGAGCTTCAAGATTTTCCAGGCTGCATGACAGAACAGCTATTCTGGGCAAAGTACTTCAAAGCAGTACCTGTTAAAGACAAAAACTGAGTAAAGGTACAATGAAGAACTATACCTACCCCTTCTCCTTCAAATTAGGCAGGCAGAATTTTCTAAGAAGCTAAAAATAGAGAATACCAGGGACAGACAGCCATTAATTGAGCAGGCAACTGGATTAACAGGATGGAGGAGAGGCTCCTTGTTAGGCAAATAAATGAGAATGAAGGTTACAGCTCATCAAAAGCTGACATCATCAGGAACACAGAAACTCTCTGATGATTATTCGTTTGATAATGTTTATGATGGTCTCAGTGAAGACCAGCCTATTAAATAGAAATTCATTTGTGAATACATCATTTCCTCAGTCGATAATACAATGAACTTAGAGCACTGACACATTGCACAGCAGCTTTGAAAAGGGTCAATCAAACGACATGAAGTATGTCAGGCCTTACATGAGAAATTCGACACCACTGACAATTCAACACACTCTTTTTGTGTGTCCTTAAATTATGTCATAGAAATATAGAGAATGAAGCAGGAGTAGGCTGTTCAGTCCATCGAGCTTGTTCCACCAATCGCTATAATCATGGCTGTGTCTCAACCTATGTTCCTGCACTCTCCCCATACTAATCGACACCTTTAGCCTCTAAAATACTATTTATTTGTTAAATATATTCACTGACTTGGCCTCCACAACCTTCTGTCGTGGAAAATTCTCCAACAGCACCACGCTCCAAGGAAGGAAACGTGTCCTCCTCTCAGGGTGCAGTGGACTATCATGTATCCCACAATCCAGACATGGGTGCAGGCACAAACACCCCTGTCAGAGCTTTATACATTTCAATGCGATCTCTTAAGCCTGAGTGACCACAGGCCCAGTCAATTCAATCTCTTCTCACTCAACAAACCTGCCACCCTAGAAATCAGTGTGGTGGTCCTTCACTGCACTCTCTCTGGCAACTACACACTTTCTTAGGAATGGGGACCAAAACTACACACAGTACTTCGGGTGTGCTCTCATCAACAGCCTATACAGCTGTAGCAAGACTACCTTACTTCTGCACTGAAACCCTCCTGTATTGAAGGCCAACATACAACTTGAAATCCTAACTGCTAGCTGCATCTGCTCAGCGACCAGAGTACAAGTGACCCCAGGTCCCTTTGCACATCAACATTTCCCACTCCATAACCATTTAATAATACCCTGCTGGTAGGTTTTTTTTTAAACTGAAGCAGACAATTTCACACTTATCCACATAGTGCTGCAACTGCCATGCCTTTGCCCTTATACTCAAATTGTACAAATCAGTGAAGCCCCCTTACATTCGCCTCGTCACTGTGGATCCCAACTAGTTTTGAGTTGACAGCAAACTTGGAAATATTACATTGGATCTCCCTCATCCAAACTGAGGATGTATATTGTGAATAACTGAGACCCAAGCACTGGTGTTGTGGTACCCCACTTACTGCTATCTTCCACCCCGAAAATGATAACAGCCTAGATTTTCCAAGGAATCCTTTCTTGCCCTGCTTAGAAAAAACAAGGGTAAGAGATACAATCTATGAAAGGAGATTCCACTCAAGGCTCCCCCGGAAATGCGGAGTGATATCTCCATTCTGACAGATGTTTCAAAGCGTAGACCTGTCAGAGAAAGGCAAACCATACCTCCTTTACACTGCAGTCAGCCGCCATATTCTGAAATGTAAAGGTCCTCACAGTGTCTTTGACAGCTGCTGTTAAAAGGTAAGTCCATAACGCAAGTGTGATACCTGGGCGCTGAGAGGGTAGGGTGTCACATGGGTGGTGGTTGGGGCAGAGGGACGGAGAGAGAGACAACAACAGGTTCCAGGTGGGTAGGATTAGGGTTCCAACTGTTAAGAAGCCAGATGGGTAGAAAGGAAGGTGCCAGCTGGGTAGGGCACAAGGAGTAGGATGCCAGATAAGGAGGATGTAAGGTGCCCACTGGGGAGACTTCTACCTAGGCAGGCGGTAGGTTGTCAGGTGGATAAGATGCCAAGTGGTAGATTGCCAGGATACAGGTAAATGATTCAGTGTTTTAGGATAGATGGGGTGGGCAGGAGATATTGGGTTCAGTCGGTGGGGGCGCTCTGGGACATGAACTTGGGGTGTGGGGAAGAGAGTTCAGATTCAGCAATGGGGTGTTCTCATCAGGTCAAGTCAGGAGGTGTAGTTGCGGGTGTGTGATGTAGGCATGGTATCAGTTGAATAGATACTCCTGAGTTACAGTATGTATTTAACAGTCTAACTTTCCCTGAATAACAATTTCACTCAGTAATATCAAAGCTCCCCAAAGTCTCTGATTTAAATGTATATTTTCAGAGGGTTACAGGCATAGACTAATTAACCAGTGGAAAATTAAGTTTCCCAGGCAATTTCTTCGGAGTACGCTGCAATGGTGATTCTGCAGGGTCCCTCTGCACAATTCCCACCTATGCTGGAATAACATATCTGGCCAAGGAAAAGTCTGGGCCAATAATTCCAACTCTGTTTCCTATCTGCTAAGGAATTCTCAATTCAGATCATATTTGAAGCTGACACGTTAGAGAATGATTGAGGACAGTGAGCGAACAACAGCAAAATAAAAAAGCCAGGGTATCCTCACTTACCAGGAGCGACAGTCTGCAATGTTTTCTGATCTATCCTCTGTGTGCTGATTAAATGATGTTGACTGGAGCCAGAGAACACTAGGTAGTGGGTTACATTCTCTTCGATTGTGTGCTCAGCATCCAATAGCACAGACAGAACAGACTCCCCCTTTAAGAGGAAAAGACAAAATTTTATTAGAAACAGAATTGCAAATTGAACATGGATTTCATCACCAGCATAGGTTTGAGATCAGATGGTACATCTGGACTGCTGAATAGCTTTTACATGAAGATTTACGGTTATTCCCCTTATTTACTAATAATATTGTCTCCTCCAAGAACAAAGCTTAAAACACAATAGAACGTAACATACAATTTACTAAATCATCTCTTTCAAACTTATCATTATTTCTACATTAAACCTCTGAAACTAACTTCTGAATCACACAATCATAGTGTAGAAGCAAGCCATTCAGCCCATCGAGTCCACACCAACCCTCCGAAGTGCATCCCATCCAGACCCACTCACCTACCCTATTCCTGTAATCCTGCATTTCCCATGGCTAATTCACCAAACCTGCACATCACTGGACACTATGGAAATTTAGCATGGCCACTCCACCTAACCAGCACATCTTTGTAACGTGGGTGGAAATCGGAGCGCCCGGAGGAAACCCACACAGACATGGGGAGAACGTGCAAACTCCAGGCTATTACCCAAGGGTGGAATTGAAGCTGGGTCCCGACGCTGTGAGGCAACAGTGCTAACCACTGAGCTATCATGCTGCCCCTCAAGTCCAAGCAAGAACCTTAACTTTACTTGCTTAATAAAGATTTAAACATTACTTTGGGTATTCTGACCCATAGATAGATTCTTGATCAGTAGGGGAATCAAGGGTTACGGGGAAAGGGCAGGAAAGTAGACATAATCCTATTGAATGGCGGAGCAGACTCAAGGAGCTGAATGGCCTATTCCTGTTCCTATTTCACCAACTAAGACCAACAAAATACACGTTTAAATTAACTTTTAGCACAGAGTATGTTTATCGGTAGCTCAGACCTGAATTCTTGATGTTGACCAGAGTTGTACAAAGGGCTCTTATCTGACAAAAACCCTAAGCCATTAAAACCATGCTTAAGCTAACAATGCAATCAAAGAACTGAAATCAACTGGTCAAAAAGTTTCTGTACCCTTACACATTCTTTAATTCTATCGTATCTTGAGAGCAAGGGCTTCTCCTTCATTACATAAACAACAGTTTCTGCAATTTTTGCCAAGCTCTCAGCTAAGGCTGCATTGTATAGGTTCTAGGAGCCTTCCTGACCCAAGTGGCCACTGCACGTATATGAGCCCATTGTAGCTGAAAACAGGTCATTTAACAGTGACCTTACTATAGGGGCAGATCTTGTCCACAGTCAACATCAATCCATCAGCATTAGTCATGGGTCAGGGGCAGCATTCTCAACAGCAAGTCAGGAAGAATAAAAAAGTCAGCGTAAAAAAGAAACTTAAACTGAGAATGACTGTATAATTCCAAAGTGCAGAGGGATCTAGGTGTTCTACTATAGGTTAATGCACAGATACAGCCATAATCAGGAAGCCAATGGCATACTAAATGGAATTAGACATAAAAGTGTGGATGTCAAGGTTCACTTATACAGGGTACTGTTGAGGCCACATCTTGTATACTATGCACAGTTTTGGTCTCCTTATTTAAGGATGGATATAAATGTGCATTGTAGGAGGTTGACCAGATTGATACCCAGAACAAGAGAAAAAATTGGACATACTAGAATGGTTTTCTCTAGAGTTCAGAAGAACCAAGGTTGACTTGATTGAAGTTTGTACGGTCCTGAAAGGCTGTGATAATTTTGGTATGGAAAGGATGCTTCCTCTTTTGGCTGTGTCAAGAACTAGAGGACACACTTAAAATTACAGTAACCCTTTGCAGACAGATACTAAGGCAATTTTTTTTGAGGGTTTATGTATCACTGGAACATAGCCTCAGGAGGCAGCGAAAGTCAAGTCATTGAATATCTTTAAGACAGAGATTGATTCTCTTGTCCAACAAGAATCTGTCTAAAGTTAACTAAGGGTAGATGGGAATACAGCATTCGGAACACAAACACATCGGCCATAATCTTACTACTTGGCTGAACGGGCTAAATGGCCTACTCCTGACTCATATGTTTGTGCAATAGTATTCGGTTCAAACCCCACTCAAAAGGTCGTGAGCATGTAATCCAGACTGACACTCCAGTAAATAAAAACCCGAAAGAACTGCAGATGCTATAAATCAGAAACAAAAACAAAGTTGCTGGAAAAGCTCAGCAGGTCTGGCAGCATCTGTGAAGGGAATAAACAGAAGCCTTCTGAGGCATGTTAACTGTTTTTTTCCTTCACAGATGCTGCCTGACCTGCTGAGCTTTTCCAGCAACTTTGTTTTTGTTCTTGACACTCCAGTGTCTTACTGAGCGAATCCGCTACTGTCGGAGGTGTCATCTTTTGGATGAGATGCTAAACTGAGGCACCACTTGCTCTCTTGGGTGGATAGAAAAGATCCTACGGTTCTGATTCATCAGAGAGCAGGAGAGTTCTTTCTGTGCTCCAACTAATGTTTTGCCCTCTAACTAAAACAGCAGGGTACAGAGGTTTATGGAAATTATTGCTGTGTTTCATCACAACTGATTTCAGAAGTACTTCAATTGGCTCCAAGGAGCAATTGGAGAGCCCTGGGACATGAAAGATATGATGTAAATACAATTTAGTCCTTTTTCTCAAAACTGACAGGGATTACTGGATACACAATCGGAAATGTGAACCATAATGGATTTTCCCCTCCCAAGCCTAGGGTGCTGAGGCCAACTTTTGGAAAGGTGAGGGCCAGTGATCAATGCATGGACCAGCAATCAGATCTTGAGCCATACTGATTCGTGACCTTCAGGTCCAGACTTTGCACCAATAAGGGGACCGGATAAACTATAGTCCATACCTTTCACTAAAAAAAAGCAGTGGGCACACCTGCCTTGAAGACCTTGAAAAAGATGCAGTAAAGATTTACAGAAAAAGGGTTCCAGCGATGAGGGTCTTTAATGACAAGAATGGGTTAGAAAAGTTCAGAATGTTTTCCTTCAAAAAAAAAGGGAAGGTAGAGAAGAGGTATGACAGAAATGTTCAAAACTTGTGGGATTGAGACTGTCTTTTTTTAAAATTGAACTCAAACATGGGATGTGGAAGTCACTGGCTAACCCAGCATTTGTAACCCAAACCTAAACAGCAGGTAAGAATTGCTGGATCAAAATCCTGGAAATTCCACCCTGATGGCATTGTGGATTTATCCGCCCCTAACAGACTGCAGTGGTTCCAGAAAGTACCTCACTACCACTTTCTAAAGGGGCGACTAGGGATGGGTAATAAATGTTGGGCTAGTCAGTCATGCCCATGTATTACGAATGATCGAAAAAAAAGCGCATTTTTGTGGGTCTGGAGTCACATAGACCAGGCCAAGCCAAGCCAAGAAAGATTGGCAATTTAATTCCTTAACGGCATTAACAAACCAAATAGATTTTTGCAACAACTGACAATGGCCACCATTAAACTAGGAACATAGGAATTAGGAGTAGGAGTAGGAGTAGGCAATTCAGCCTTTTGGGCCTGCTCCACCATTTAATATGATCATATCCTGGTCTCAACTCCACTCTCTTGCCTGCTCCCCATAGCCCTTTATCCCACTTTTCATCAGAAACACATTCATTTCTTTCTTGAATCTCTTGATTGATTCTACCTCCACTGCACTCTAGGCAACGAGTTCTACAGATTAACAACCCTCTGAGAGTGGAGGATTTCTCCACATCTCAGATTTGAACCGACCGCCTCTTGCTCTATATCAACGCCCTCTTGTTTGAGAACTGTCCCACCGGGGTTGGGGGGAACCATCTGTTCCACATCCACCTTATTGATCCGCTTTAGCATTTCATATACTCCAACGAAATCCTCCAACATTCTTCTGAACTCTAGCAAGCACAAACAAAACCTATTCAACTGTTCCTCGTATGACAGCCCTCTCATCTCTGGAATCAAACTGGTGAACTTCCTCTGAACTGCCTCCAGCGCCACCACATCCTTCCTTAAGTAAGGAGACCAAAACTGGACACAATACTCCAGTATTGGTTTCACCAATGTCTCATATTTGTAACTTCATTTCTGTCATTTTATAATCCAGTTTGCCACCCAGAAAAGGACCCCTTCATCCCAACCCTCTGCTTTATGTCAGTCAGTCAATCCTCTAACCAAGATGATACTCTATCCCTTAACACCTTGGAATCTGACCTTCTGGATTAGTCTTTTATGCAGCGCCTTGTCAAATGCCTTCTGAAAGTCTAAATATACCACATCCACTGGATCCCCATTATCCACCTTGCTGGTTACATCCTAAAAGAACTCCAGCATGTTTGTCAAGCACAACATGCCCTACATGAAACTATGCTGACACTGATGAATTGAGCTTTGTTTTTCCAAGTGTTCAGTTATCTCCTTTATGATTGACTCCAGTAACATTCCCACTACAGGAGGTCAAACTAGTTGGTCTATTTTTACTCACTTTTTGCCTATCTCCTTCTTTGAATAAAGGTGTCACATGAGCAGGTTTCCAATCCACTGGTACATTTCCAGAATCCAAGGAATTTCAGAATAATATGACTAATGCATCCACTGTCTCTGCTGCCACCTCCTTTAGTATCCTAAGGTGCAGGTCATCAGGCCCTGGGCATTTATCTGCCCTTAATCCCAGTTTATTTAATACCTTCTTGCTAGTAATTTCACCAAGTTCCTCTTGTAGTAACTGCAGTTTTTGGAAAGAAATTAACCTCTTCTACTTTGGAAACAGACTAAATATTGGTTTAGTGCCTCTGCCATTTGAGTTTCCCATTATTACCTAGCCATTTTCGTCCTCTAAAACACCAACATTTACTTTCACTATACTCTTCCTTTTTATATACTTATAGGAGCTTTTAGCATCAGTGCTTATGTTTTCTGCTGGTTTTCTTTCATTGTTCATCTTACGTCTTTGATCTTGCTTTTGCTTTTAGTAAGCATTTACTGACAGTTAAAGTTTACCCAATCCTCCCAAGTGCTAATAACTATTTTCAAATTCCAGATTTTGTATTGAA